AACTCTAATCATTTCCATAAATATTTTAATTTATTGGGTTGCATTGGTTGTACAAATGCGATAGGTTGTATTTGAAATAAACCCTATATATATATATATATATATATATATGTATATACATATATATGTATATATATACATACATATATATATATATGTACATATATATATGTATATATACATATATATATATATATATGTATGTATGTGTGTGTGTGTGTGTTCATACTTCATATGGTTCTTACATTAATAAAAAAAATTAACAAAAATAATGAGATTTTTTGATTTTGTAACTCTCAATTAATTATATGGGAGTTACATAAAAAAATTATCTAAATACTCTTTGTTCACATATGATTTTTGAAATTATAAATTTAAAAAATTAATTTTTTATCATTATTAATCACAACTGTTTATTTTAAGAATCAATAACCAAGATTGGTTAACAAAGTTAACACAATAATCTTGATTAACAAAGTTAACACAATAATCTTGGTTAATATTTGAAACAGTCGCTATATAACTATATAACTATATATATATATATATATATATATATATATACAAATAAATTTGTGATGATATGAGATCAACCTGTTTTTGTAAAACCTAAAAAACCACCGAACCTTCATAATAAAAATATTATGAAGGTTTACCTTTAGAGTTTACCTTTAGAGTCTTATTGTCAAGGTTCAATTTTTTTTTAGTTTTACAATATTTTATTATACAGATTCAATGTTATTTTGCGGTATGAATAAAAAACATATGAAGCCAACCAGATATAGATGTGTGGGCACTTGTGAGGGGTTGTCATGGATACTCCATACAAATAGACATGATATGATGCATGGACATGGACATGGACATGGACATGGACATGGACATGGACATGGACATGGACATGGACATGGACATGGACATGGAGGCATGAATGGGGAGCCATACCCTTCCTGACACCACCACATATTAATGCCTCACATGCCCTTCCAACATCCTCCAAAACATAAGATATCTACTTGCTTACTCCCTTCCCCCACCCCACACGTCTCTCCCTTCAAACCATTTTCTTTCATATTATTTTTTTTTTTAAATCCACCTATTTTATATGTTAAATATATATATATATATATATATATTTTTTCAAGATATTAGTTTGACTTAAAAAGACTTTGTTTAACAACATTATTGTTGCATTTTCAAAATATCTAAGAAAACATATTTCAATGATAAAATTTTGATTTTGATTGGACAACACATCAAGTGATCCAACATACTAATTGATTCTTATCTGGTTGTTCAAAGCCTACTTAAAAAATCGGATATCACTTACCTTACAGACGAGTATGACAATGACCTATACTATAATCTTACTTTATAAGAAACATAGCAAGGATCAAGATTCTTTCATGATAAGCGCTTATTGGGTGATGGCCGAGAATTTTATCCAATAAGATAAATGCTTACCAATAAATGTTTAATAAACGACCCTTAAGTTGATTAGTAAATGAAAACTTATTTATATACCTTCAAATTTAGCAATTAGTTACTTAAATAATCAGAATAAATTTGATAACAAAAATTCACCATCATTAAACATAACTTATAAATACTTAAAACTGATTGTGAGATCACACAATCATTTTGAAAATGAGTGGACCCAAAGTGATATCATGTTGAAATATGAATTTAATTCTATTTTTTTAATAATAATAAAATGTGTGTTGTGTTGTTTCAAGATTTTGGATGAGAGTGTTTTGTGGTCGGATGTTTAGATTATGTTGCCCATTGTCATGGTAACGAACCGGCTAGGAATTGGGATAGGATTTGTTGGCATGTATCTATGTATGTGTATATGTATATATATACTGACGATTTTGACTCGTTTAACAAATTTTTAGAATGTTCTTAGAATAAAATGTCGTATTAATTATTTTATACGACATTATTTGAAAAAGTGTCCTATAAATAGATAATTTTACATGACACTTCTCAAAATTATTTTATAAAATAACTAATATTAGACATTTTATTTAAAAAATAAAAAACTTGTTAAAACGCTTAAGAACGTCTTATAAACTTTTTGAAGTCTTTGGAATATATAATATAGGACACCTAATAATTTGATCCTATAAGATTAAGTCTTATGAAATATTTCATTCGTCAAATTTATGTATATATTAACCCGTCAACCTAACCCGTCTCAACCCGCAAGGGTTGAGTTATACTTTTGAATGACTTGGATTGGGTTGAGATTTTTTTTCAAAACGTCATAATTGAGTTGAGTTGTAAAAATACTGTAAATCGTCCAACCCAACCCACGTACATCTCTGATGATTTTATACACTTCTCATGTTCATGAAAATTGCGATCTTAAACCGTTTCATTTTTCATATTTATGACAAGTTTTCATATTTTAACACACAATTTGTTTATATTGTGATTTTTTTAACATAAGTATTTGTTTTATAATATAGGGTTGAATTTCGATAAGAATAAAGTTATAATGAGAAAGGTAGGAATGGATCTTCATCCATCAACACTAATGTGATGCACCAGATCAATTCTTGTGATAAGCGTAATTCATAGGATGAGGGTTAGATTAAAATTAATATCAATGGTCCAGATCTTTTTCTATGATTCTTACCTTAACTTTTATTCTCAAACAATCATTCGTCTTATAGTGTATATTTCATCAATATGAAACGCACTTAACAAGTTAAAAACTTGGGTTCTTATTTAAGAACAGAGTCTGTATAAGGCAATTTTCGAGAACCATTCATTATGGTTTAGCTTCTTAGAGCATCTCCATCGTCCTTTTTTTTTTTCAAATTTGAGGATTTTTTTTCTTTATTTTAGAGAAGAATTTAGTATATTTATTGAAATAAAAATTTCTTAAATCTTTATAATTTTTAAAAAATCAATTATTGTAGAGGCTCTTCATAATGATAAATTTTTTAATACGTGCCAGCTTTTTCGTTAGTTAATTTTTATAGCACGATGGCTGTTTTTAAACGAGTCATAAAATGTTGTTGTAAAATCATTCAAATTATAAGTGCTAAAAAAGTTTGTCATCAAAAAAATTAAAACTTTAATTTTGGTTCGGAATAGTTTGAAAATGGAATATGAAATTTGATAAACTGTGGTTTTATTTTGTTCTAAAAGTGGTCCCTAATTGTTAGCTCTGTGTATTTTCTCCGTTAGACTGAAGGTATTTCGGTCTTTTTATCAAAATCTTTTATTTTTCTTTCAAAAATAACACAAATATTTTCTTTTATAAATAACAAATTTTTAGATTTAGAAAGAAGTTTTATAAATAAATACAAAAATAAATAAAATTAAAATATTATGTTATTCTTTAAAAGAAAATTAATTTTTTTTATAGAAAACCCGAAATGCCCCTCGTTTTAACGAAGAAAATAAACATAACTAACGATGAGGGACTACTTTGAAAATAAAAAATAGAAATAAATGCCATAAAGATGATTTCTAGACTTGTCAAAGTTCAGATAATACTTTCAGACTTTTGGTGGTAATAACGATTTATGGTCATGAAAATATTTATGACAATTAAAATTAGACTTGGGTTGGGATCATGTAAGACCAATTCTCAACCATTTGATTAGATCTACAATCTGAACATTTATAATCACAAATTTGTCACGAGAGTTCTCAATAATCACAAAATTGTCACCGTACAACTTTAGACCATTAGATCATTAGATTATAAAGTTGATCAATGAAAATAAATTGCTCTTACGGGTCTCACGTGAACCGAACCGATTAAAATTATATATTGTAATGTATTGCACAATTAGTGTTAATTTGAGCCTATACTCTAAATTTGTAATTGTCGTATATCTCCTATATGTTATGAAATTAGGGTGCAAATTTCATATGGATTTATAGGTTGAGTTAACAGCCCAACAAGGCCCAAAGACTTTAGGCTATAAAAAGTTGGGCTAAGGCCCAAATAGAACATAAAGTCCATTCCATCATTATAAATATAACTTCATTTATTTCACAACAGATTATAATTGATGAATATTTATATATGTGTAATTTTATAATATTTTAACTCTTATATAAATGTTCTCTTTCCCTTTCCTCGCATTTAAAAGGAAAATCAACATTATTTTCTTTTTTCCCCTCCTAAAAACAACTCGAGAACACGGCATTTTTTACTTTACTTCCATTTTCTTGCCTTTCCTTCATAAAGAGGACTCGAGAACACGAGATCTTCTTACTTTCCCTCCATCTTCTCGCCTTTCCTTCGTAAAAAGGCCTCGAGATCACAACGGTACAGTCTTATTCGTATAAATAGTTCCATATCGAGTCTATGGTCTAATCACGAACGACTACACAATTGTAATCGTCTTAATTTTCTTAGTTCAACGAATCTTTATTTTACTTTTCAGTCTCCTATTTAAAAAAAATACACTATTTTACACCTTGTGCATTATTACAAAATTTAAAATTTAAATTGACAACGGTTTATAATCACGATTATAACAGTTGCATTTTCTATGATCACATTATTTTATATTTAATAAGACGTAACTATTTCCATCTCCTATATATATTATTTACGCATCAAATCCATAATAATTCAATAGATTATTACTTGAACGGTCACACATCTCTAGATGGACTATGGGGTGTTAGAGATTGCTTATAAAAACAATTTATTGGCTTATTTTGGTGTGATCCGGTAATAACCACTTCTGACTGTTTGGATAAACAGCTTATACCGGTGTCAAACCGGTAATAAGAAGTTTATGAAAAAGTTAAACCATTATAATTTATAACAAGTTGATAAAGCCTGTTGTAGAAAAATATAAAGTTGTTTCAAATAAACAATCTCAAACAACCCCTATAACCAAGAACTGAATTAAAAATTATCGGTTTCATTCCGATTTGGTCCGATTCAAGTTCAATTTACCGATTTATTGGTACGAAAATCAAATCGAAAGCAAATATTGAACTCATTTCCCCCCCTCAAATAAAACATAAATGCATTCAGACATTCTTATTTCCACTCATTTTTATTCTCTCATCTCTTCCGTTCCATATGAGATGCTTAACATTCAGAGGTAACCAATCTTTGTAAGCCAATGATCTTGATCTATTCGATGCCATACATCTGCCTCATCATCCCTACAAAGTTGGTGATCTTTTCTGGGCTCGTTAACGATTCCGAAACCGTTTCTCTAGCGTAGGATCGTGTGATCCATGCTGCCAATTTCGGGTACTCATCCTCCACCTTGAACCCACCGTACTTCTCAAAGGCGGGGAACCATGAGGTTAGACCGATGAGCAGAATGTCCACAAATCCGAAGGTATCGCCGTTAAAGTAATCTTGTTCGCCCAGAGTTCCGTCCAAGTACATCAAGATATCGAGGAATTCCTTCCTAGCGCTTTCTACTTGGTCATCTTCTTTCGCGGTCCAAACGTTACGACCGGCCGGAAACACCTAGGATACAGGCAAACACAATTAGGGTCTTGTATATCTCGGCCAGAAAGAAATGCATCTGAATGTAACGAAGTTTGGTTTAGTTCAGTGTCACGTTCTAAATCAATGTAACAAAAAGTGCTAAAGTTCCTATTTATTGTAACAGAATAGTTTTTTCTAAATAAATGTAACAAAAAGTGCTGAAGTTCCTATTCAGTTTAATCGATTTTGAGTTATTTGATTCAGTGATCAGATAAACCGAACAAGGGTTTTATTTTAATAAATCTATTTAAATTCCGTATCGCCACTAACGGTTTTTCTAGTAGCGAGTAGAGAGGGTCAAACACGGTTATTGCCCAATGGTCCTGGACCGCTTTCGAATTTTATGAAAAATGAGGCCTGGCCCGAGACCGGTTATACACGCATAGGAACCAATTTTTCCGTATAAATTTAATATAAAAAGATTTTTACTAATTGTAATAGAAGTTTTCAAGATTTTCTCAAATAAATATAATATTTATAAAAACTTGTACAACATTCTTGTGAAAAAAGATTTACAAGATTTAGAATTTTTTTAAAACCAACCGGTCCCGAGACCGGTTGCCGATCCTAGGATCAATCCTAGTATTTTTGGTTGGAACCGGGACTTAGACTGACCAGCCCGGTTCCAAGCCAACTTCTTCAGCCCGAGGCCGATTTGGGAGCAACCAAGACTGGTTTTTCACCATCTCTTAAGTAGCAAATGCATGTCCAAATCTAGAGAAAAAAAAACTTACCTTGCGATCAATATAGTCGGCCCAGAACCTGGCTCGGGATTTCCCATACGCGCAAGCGGGCAACAAGGGTTTTGCAGGCCAAACTTCATCGATGTAGGTGAGGATGTTGGTGGACTCGACCACGGGCTTATCATCGTGCAACAGCACAGGCACCTGTTTATGGACAGGGTTAGATTTGATCAACAACTCAGTCTTGGCACCCATCAAATCACTCTCTAAAATCTCCTCATAAGCAACATCTTTTTCAGCCAATGCAACCTTCACTCTCATGCAAAATGGGCTTGCCCACATGCTCAACAGCTTCACATCATCTTTTCCCATGTTCAGATCACTTGTGTGTGTGTGTGTGTGTGTGTTTTGATGATGGTTAGAGAAAAGAAGGTATGTGTTTATATAGGTGACTTAATTGTATTCAGCCCCACAAGAAAAAGCTTTGGTTTTGCCACATGCAGCTTGTTTTATGGCAAAAAGTTGAAGAGTTTGTGTACCTGGAGCTGGCCGAGGGATACCCGAACAACAATCGTTGCTATTTGCCGGCACACTCGAAAGATTTGCATAGAGAAAATGAAACACCGGTTGTAGATACTCCCTCGTCCAAAAATTAATGTCGGAAAAGTTTTTAAAAAATATGTAATTATTACACTTTTTAATCAACTAAATGACGATTTTACCCTTGATAAAAGAGGTTGTAATGAATTTTTCATCTCATTATTAAGGGTAAAAATGAAAAGTAGACCCTAACAGTTGAAAGTTGACACTTATTTTGAGATAAGCTAAAATATAAAAATAAACTTATTTTGGGACGAAAGAAGTGGATCTAGAATATTCTAATTTAAGAATTAACGGTTATATTTTCACTTTCAAGGTCAAACTTGCTACTTCATGTTCGGTTTAGGTTCTCAAAGCAACTCTCGAATACAATTCATTTGGGGATTATCCTTCTTGTAGGCACTAAATTATTAAAGCAGCCACCTAGCAGACCATTGTGTAACTGATTTGCCTCTCATATGATACTCTCAAGCAGGACCATGTGAATCGAACCTTGCACAAACTTGTTGTCCACGTGAAAAAGTCATCATCGTCACCTTTGTGGAAGTGTCGGCCTTTGTCTAAACAAAAACCAAACAAAACAAATCCAATAAGTCCCACTAAGAGGTGAGATGTACGCAGATCTGACATCTACCTCAAAGTACAAAACAACTATTTCCGTGAATACTTCCAACTTACATGAAGTGTATGAAAAGGAAAGGTAAAGCTTCTCAAAAGATTTGCAAAGAAAAAACATAAGAACTTGAAAGTACGAAAGACGGTTCTATAAAAACAAACAGACCGACAAACAACAAAGAAAACATAAGCAAAAAGCTGAAATGGTCAAAACCCGAGCAAGGTACAACCTATCCGCAAACAATGTTACTTGTGACTCAAGTAACATATTTTGGATTTTAGCAACTCCATAGGTTGAGGAGGTCTTGCTTGTGGAGGCGGTGTTTTTTTGGAAAAGTTAGGAGAGAAATGACTAAGAGGTAAATCCAACCAGCTAACATGTGTTAGTTTCCCCATTCAAGCTCTTGAAGAAAAGGATTTAAGCATGTGGGAAATACGATGATTGGATGCACATGGTACAACCTAACATAGCATGTTGATCAACACAAAAGTCAATATATGCATAAAGTACAAATGGAGTTCCAAATCAACTTGGGTTCCCATTCTCTCCATGTTTTTACCTGCATTCATTACATTTTCACCACCATAATTGAAGTAAGCAGCATTTCATATGAATCAAACCACTACTACTAAATCAGTGAATATGAATTCTAACTACTTCCCAAGGAGAATGAAGTTATTTTTTTACCACATGTGTTAAGAGGAGGAAAGAATTACTCGATCCAACATTTTTACTATGCTGTACAGTTTGACGTATGATTTCCAACCACTGAACACCACGAACGTACCCTGGTCATGAATCAAGTGGTTTGGGAGCCTTGATGTAAAGACAGATATGAAGGAAGTAATCCGGGTTCATCAAGTTTTTGACCACCCAAGAAAATGGAATTTCTGATTTGGGTTCGATGCCTTGGATACGGACAAGTTTGATCACGGGTTGACCTGATAGAGATTGGGATTCTACACTTTCTATTGATGTTCCCTCAATGATTCCTGTTTTGCTTTCCTCTTCTGCTTCAATTCCTGGCTCGTTCTTGAATTCTGCTTTGATGGTGTTCGAGGAATTGGGATAAAATTCTGGCAGAATTGATTTTACTGCATCAAGCAAAGTGAAATACTTTCCTGCACCAAAAAAGTGATGCGACTATTATAGTTGATACCATAAGTTAGCTTATTTTTTGAGATTATTGAAAAAGCTTTTCAAAAAGCTACTTCGGATGGTTTACTGGGCTTTCATTTTTTTCCCAATTATACCCCTTATATTTTACATAAATGTCCCCTATATTTTCCTTTAAGGTCATTTTACATTGTTCTTATCAACTAGTTCTTACCAAATGTGACTAGTTTATAAGCTAGCTTATGGCCAACAACTAGTTTTTCAGCTAACAGCCAGCTTACCAGCTAGTTGACCAAACATAGTGTTAACATGATACATGTATTCTTTGTTCAGTTTGGGAAAAGTAAAACAGATTTGTTAACAAACAGAAGTTACAAATGAGAGAATGCAGGCCAAATGAAAGATGTTAACTAAAGGAAAGCTTGATGACAACACAAGAGTTTGCTCATTGGACTTGCAAGTTAAATTTACAATATATGCTACATTTCTATTGTCGTAACTATTGGACAATCTGGTGTGGGGAAGCAAAAGTTGGTGGGAGCATAATCCCCCCCCCCCCCCACACACACACACGGACCTTTTTTTTGGGGGGAGGGGAGAGAACAAAATCGACATTTCAGCTTACCTTCTCCATTAATCTCAACGGGCCGGTTTATGTATGAGATCTGGTCCCAGCTATCAAAATGCAATTCTTCTTCGAAATCGTCAAAATCTTCATCAACATTGCAGATATACAAACGAACAGGAATTCTACCTAACAAGAGCCCATAAAAGAATTAATGAGAACATCGGTCTATGAGAAACCACACATCCTTTCATGAGGAATTCCAAATAGTCATGGCATTGGTAATCTTTTGACAGCACAAAATCAGTAGAATCAGATCATATAGGAGTACAAATATATCATGTGATGTCCCAACAAAAAACAGATCATAAATGGTTTAAATTATTTACTTTCCATTCGGCCCCTGATGACATTCTCATACGGAAAAAATGATTATCTTGTTCCCTTCAGCTAAGATATGAGATAACTGAAGAAGACAAAGGATGGTGGAATATGGTAAAAGTTACACAATTTCCCGTTTAAAAACCGCATATGCTTTGCACATGATTCCCTGTGTTTCTTTGTTCTCTTTTTCTTCATTAGCAATATTTATATGCACATGATCGCTTCACAAATAACTCAAACAATGTGCAGGGAGTAAGGACAATCTAAGTTGATATGTTAAAATTGCCAAAATGTTGCAGTTGGAGAGTGATGGTACCAAAATTTCAAGCAAGGTCCTATTCTTCAATAAGGAAGCTACCAAATATGCCATCCATTATTCCAGTGACTATACAAATTTATTTGTGCCAGATTTAATGAGAAAACTTATTCTCATTGCAAAGGTTAGCCCCTACAAGTCCAACAGCTTCGGGTTTTGATTTTTAAGGTTGAAAACTTGATTCTGCTATATATTCAATCTGAACAAACTCATGAGAACACGAGGGATATAAAGCACTTTTCAATCATTTAGCACATGTAATTCCTCTTGAGAACTCAATTAGATGGTGAAGATCACAAATGGCGATATAGTAGTAGCACATTGATGAGATTGCAAGTTCTTTTTTTAGTACTTAAAATCATTTCAGTTATAACTTAAACACATCTGTCCATCTGTTTTCCTCCAACCAAAACCTATATAATCATCAATAAACTACAATGAACAAATGTTCCCTTTCACTTATAAATTAAAATATGGGAGTTATTTAGCAATCATCCAAATGCGCCTGAACCCACCAGTCATGCAGTAATAACAAAGCACAAATTAAAATATAAGAAAAATATCTAAACTTCAAGCTAATCATATTCCTTAAATATTCGAGTGGCATGGACACACTTACTTGCTTTCGGTGCTGCAGTTGCCTCTGTCTCGTCAACACTGTGTTGAATTTTCGAAGAAGATGGATTCAGTTTTGCAGAAAAGTCGTCTCGAACTATTCCAAGTTTAAGCTTGGATGAAATGCGGTTGTAGGTCTCCAGTTTACCTGCAAACAAGTCAGCATTTATGTTGGAACACATCAAGAGTTTCATATAAAGAGGGAGAATGTGAAAAGAAACTGATGTATAAGAATGAATTCATCGTTTAGCTTCTTCACAGCCATTAATCAACTACAACAAGTACAAACACTCTTTCAACTTACTGCCCTATTTAAACATGTATTATAACACTAAGAAATACTGAAGCATATATAGTTAAAGATTACATGCATACTAGAAGGGTACTCGCACAATGCAGCAAGATACATCTCGATTTTAATGTTTTGTTTTGTTTTTGTCACAGTCGATGTTATAATACGGTTTTATGTGGTTTTGAGAAAACGATAATGTTTTTATTTTTGAATGAAATATAAATATGAAGATATCATAAAATTTTGATATATACTGATATTAGTACCAAACCAACAATTTAAAATTTCTCCTTTTTTTGTGTAATTTCTTGAATTCATTTTTTTGTTGGTTTAATAATATAACTTTTTATAAAGATAATAATTAAGTATTTTGTTAGAACTTAATGATTATCCTAATTATATTTTAGATTTTTTATATTTAAACATGTTCAAACATGGAGTTTTAATCAATTGTACTCATGCACAATTTACTTGTAATCTTGAATTTTAAGTAATATGCATCAATAAACAATACTTGATACATAAAAAATAGTTTTTAAGAGTTTTTCTCAAATGCTTTATAATATAGTATAGATAGTGGCCAGAAAAACTAGCAACATCCACGAGTTCAAAAAAGAATTCAAACCATTATAGGAGCACTGGACCCTCTCATCTTATGGTAGGAACTAGGAACTTTGTCGAAGCCTCGCAAACATAGTTTTCCATTCATTTGCCAATGCAATTTCGAATACTCATAAATGAGCAGGCTTACTTTTCTATATCACAGGTACATTTTGTATGTGAACGGAGATGCTGAACTGCATACAGAGAAGTATGAAGGCAATACAAGTGAACGGCCCCATAGGTTTCCTTAACACGCCAAGTAGTATATTATCTCCCTTGACGAAATGTTATACTGCCATGTTTATATATCACTGCATATGTGACTATACAGAGTGTTGTAACCCATCCCTATTGTACCTATTTGCCAAGGAAGAAAGAAAAAAAAGCAAAAATATATTCGTCCACTAGCATTCCAGATCAATGCAAATAGAAATAGAAAATCGTGCTGTGCACAGAAGAGAAGTACTACAAGTTCCAAATCATTTAATAACATACCATTCATAACAGAGCGCCACAAGTCAATCTGATCAGGTTGAGACATGTTCATAACATTCTTGCTGCTCCCATGAATTATATACGCGGCCTGAAGAAGATGATGCAATCATAACAATAGGATGTTGAATGTTATCATCAGCAAACAAGTTAACACAATTATTTAAAGGAACTTCTTCCATCATCAGACAACAAGAGAAAGAAGAGAATTATAGAGTGTAGAAAGCTATACATAACCTCCACCTCAGTCCCGAGAATAACTGTCACATAAGCATATGGCACATTGACATAAAGAGCAAAATTCTATATCATTCACACCATGGGGCTCTTCTAAAACAAATTAATTTATGTTATAATGGGGCTTAGCTCTGTCATTTCAAATGAAAATTAATTGTAATTGTTAATGGTGGTTGAAAGTAAAATAATAATAATACGCCGATTTATAAATGGAACCTTATGACACTTGACTTCTGTTCCCGAAATCTGTCTTTATTGGACTTCGTCAAGCCAAGCCCAACTTCAGCAAAAGTAATCTTACAATCCATCACCAAAGCAATGTCTGTAATCCCTTCTCTTCCAGCTTCCAAAGAACTATTGTCCCTATTGACATTCATATTTATTGAAATCATGGTGACTTCAAAGAGCAGCATCTGCTCCTCTGCTATTGTCATGGTAGAGAATGCATATGGTACCTTTCTGGATGTTTTAAGGCAACAGGAAGAATAAAGTGAAATTGTCAAAGGGATTTAAGCTTAAGGTTTATCAATGAGCCATGGAAATTAAGGAAACAACTGAAGATAATGTGGGAGTCTTGTGCATTGAATAATGTGGAATTTGACTGATGGAGGGTAAGAGTCTAGAAGGGGGGTTGGGTAAGAGAGTATTTGTTTCTAAACTAGATTTTAGATTAGCCAAGCGACCTTATCTACATTGCAGACACCATTTTAGAATTTTTTTTCATTTTGAATCATGAAACCTAAGATCTTTCACTGTATATATAGGGTTGGTTCCCATAAGAATGAACTTTTTGGTTAAAACATGAGAACAAAACCTTCATTTATCATTTACCTTCAACTATATTCAATCCATTTACCTAATTCTATCACCAAGACTAAAACATTAACAAATTCATGCATGTGAAAGTAATTGAAGGTATGTACAAGTTCATGAAGGTATGTAAAAGTTCATGAAGGTGAATGGAAGTGAAGATAAAGGTTGATGAAGGTCTTTATCTTTTGTCGGCTATTAACTGAAGGTCCACATTTGTTAGCCATTAGTTCAAATAATCAACTCATCCAAAGGTTTAGAATTGTTCTCACCATTCTCACCAAAACTCTTATCCTCATACGATCCAAAGTCGAATCCATAATCCATAAAAGTTCCAATAGAAGTTTCGAAACTGGACCTGAGAAAGACTAGACTTCTAGTAACAGTAGGTGCACAAGGCCCCTGCAGAGGAAAGCTTTATCCCAGCGAATATAAGGAGTTCTTTTCCAAAGAAGCATTTAACCATTCTCAAGCATAGCTATTTCTCTAAAATAAAAATGCCTTTCATTTCTCTTTTGGAAGGTAGGCGCCTTCACTTTAAACTTCCTCGTGTAGTAACTTTCCTTATTTATTATAGGATGAAGATGATTCACTCACCAAGAATATATACACTATCTTATAAAGCATTTACATCAAAACTCTTAAGGACAACTCCTAAAGCATAAGTACTACATTTTTCTGCACAAAACTTGAAAAACTATGAATTACAACTTAGATTGCACAATGTACAAGTCTTAAGGGCATAACTTCTTATACATATATATACACATCAATTGTTCCACTAGTTACTATGTAAGTAAAGACAGAAATGGATAGTAGATGAAAGAGTCATTCTCAAACCTCTTTTAATGAATTAATATAGCTCCATTTCACACTATCTTCCCCATCACAAGGAATCAAGACATTTCCTGGGTATCCTCTAAAATGTACCTGTAGTGGAAATGAAAACATGACTGAGTATCAATCTGCATAAATGTTGGAACCTATATAATATATAACTCTAACCAATTCTATACAAATGGTTTTACAAATTGTGGGAAAACTTAGACTTCAGGTTCCTATGGTTACAAGGTGACCAGATGCTATATGTTTGGCATTTTAACGCATTACCTTAAACCAAATCCATGGCCTTCTGCCTTTCAGATTATGAATAGAGTAAGTCATTTGCTGAATTCTAAACCTCCACATATCATAGAAGAAAACTTCTGGTAAGGGCTATGTTAGGGATGTATGATAAATATGTACTGTAGGTATAATATTATCTTCTAGGATTTCCTAATCCATATTTTAGCCTCCTGGCCGCCTTCTACTCCATTAATTCCAATCTGATTAATAATAGATCATGTTCTCTGAGCCCATCTATACATGAGAACATAATCCAAATCTAGATACAAACACTGCCATGTCAAAAGTCACCTTATATGGTCAGTCTGTTGCCAAACATCATTCCCTTCCATTAAATATTTATTTATTTATCTTTTGTCGTTATAATCTTTAGGATAATTAATAGTTTTACTGTTATGTTAGGTATCTATCCTGAACGTAAGTTTCATTATATAAAGGTTGTACTTCCAGGTTAAGAGGATGAAATAATATGGAGTTCAAATAAAATATGTTTTCTTGGTTGAGTGAATCACCTGTGAATGCATTATCTTGACTTTGATACAAATATGATGCTAAAAATAAATCAAGATGAAAGTAAAGGAAAAATACAAACAAAGGAGCTAGGGACTCTAAGCTTACCCAATTTGAGGCTTCACATAAAACTGTTGATTCACTCAACAAAGGAACATATTTTGTTAAAACTACACATTACTCCCTCTCAATATGGAATTGTGACATAAGTATGATAGAACAAACAGTAATTGTCCTAAATGAACTACTAATTATCCTAACGATGATAAGAATAAAATTTCATAACATAACATGATACCATTTCACACTAATCAAACAGCATCACTATCAATTCAAAACAGAAAAATGTGAAAAGGAAAAAATTAAAATATATACCGTCAAATTCCAAGGTCTTTCAGGCTCAGCACAAAGAAGATCAAAAAGGACCCCTGTTGGTATATACCTGAAAAAACAAACATTATGTCAGATAACAAGCCGAACTCACTGGATTTGAAAACAAATCCGACTGCCAATATAACCCGAGAGGCTAAGAGAATCTTGACATAACTAAAGTTTTAATTCAATGCTGTAAAACAAAGTTGTTTTTCTCTTGTATAGTTGCATCTGAATTCTCTCTCTAATAAATAGAGCACAGAGCAGCAGTATATAGAATGCATCTGAATCATCAATGTAGTACTTAATCGATTAGGTCAATGCCTTGTTCATTTATGGTTGCACAAGGGAATAATGAAGGAAATAAGAAATCCGTCACTCGGAAGACCTTGCCTTTCACCAATATTTGGCCTCCCTGAAGTTACATGAACAGAAGGAAATACTTGCCAGAGATTACAAATGTGCAGCAAGAATTCCTAAATAATTATCTACTCCCCCCACTCCTTGAGCACCTTTAGATAGGAAACTGATGCAAACTACCAAGAGAGTCTTGTTGATTGATTGCTGAAGCATAATTTTTCTTCTAAGTTCCTTTTCCCCTAATATAATTTACTTCTGTTCTTGCTGCCCTTTTTCTGTTGGCCACATTTATGAGGTTGTGAGGTTGGTAGCACTTTTAGATATGAAAGCGATGCAAACTACCAAGAAAGTCTTATTTACTGATGGCTCCGTTTCCCTTGCTACAATTTACTTCAGTTCTTATTGCACTTCTTTCTGTTGGCTACTTCTACGAGGTTGTGAGGTTGGTGTAATGGGTGTTAGGTTGAGCATTCTCCATGTCTTTTTCACTTATCAGTGGTTCAGTTCTACTGAATTTCTTCACTTCTTGTCCCTACCATTTACATTCGTTATAGTGTATGCCATACAAAAATTTGTAACCGATGACATGTTTATCATCTATAAGTACCTAACTCACTTGCCTCAGTTTATGACAGTATCTTAGCACTCGTAATCCCATTTCTACTACACTGTTTTATCAGAATTTCACAAAAAACTGATATACGTAAATATTATGTGTGTATATATATATGAAAAATAAAAATAAAAATCCTTAAAATAATTACTCATATATCTCTCTTCTTAGACTTACCTAACATGTGTAAGAATTTTCATGATAAGATCACTTACTGTACACAACACGCTAGATCCTTTGCTCAGAACCATGTGAGCTTGAATCCATGGTCTATGATCCTTTGGTAAAACGATTATCACTCTTCATAAAAAGTAAGAATCCATGACTCAAGACCTTAACCTCTTTTGCAGAACAGATCATCTAATTTTTTTACTCCGGTTAGTAAGAGGGGCCCGAAAGCATCAGTTTTGGAAGTAGCTCCATCATGAAAGTGATGTCAGTACTCAAATACCCACTAAAGCTACCTCTTTGGATATGAAGAGCCAATATATAATATATTATTCTACTACAATCCTATGTATTTGTATAGATTACATCAAGATTCAAGAGAGCATGATCATTGATAAATACATCAACAAATTTGGGGAAGTTAAATACTTGCATATTCCAAAAGAAATAGAAAAAGGTTATGTTCACAATGCCTTAGCCTAGGAAGCCTCATGAAGGTTACAATAAAGATATTTGAGCCTTGATAGAGCAACCCAAGCACCTACACAACTTAGGAGAAAGGAATGCTAAAAGAGCCTTAATAATGATAAGATTGTTTACTTGCAGTAGTTCAAGAAGTTATGAGTTTCAGCATGTTTATATTAACCATAGAGATGCTATTGCCCAGTGGTGTTAGTGAGTCCTCAAGTAATCTGAGAAGGTTATGTTGACTTGTTGGTGGAGTTACAAAATGACTTGTCATCACTAAGTGTTACCAATGTGCAACCTGGATTCCACTGAGAGTTTCCCATCTCATACTGAGAAGGTAGAGATATGCAAATTATGACTTGCCATAATTTGAATGCAGATTAGTACTAATGTATACGATATGAATATTCAGGACACCAATATTGGCCATGTGTTGAACTCATAAAAGCTTATAAAGGGCCTATCATTCATCTCATCGCACACTCTAGTCCATCATCTAGCCTTATCATGCCTAACACTTGTTACCACACTCTCTTGTTTGTTCTCCACAGCAGCTGCCAAGGTGATTTAGAATGTTTTTAATGGGCAAATTGTGATAACTCATGATGAAGCTATTTCTATAACTCGTCTTAGGTGTTACTCCAAGGCTTGCTCCTTGGATCCCATTTATAGGCAAAGATATTTAAACATAGAAGATCGACTAATTTTGTATATTATGTAAAGATGACTTATTTGTATCAGGACTATTAACTATTATCTTCAGTTCCCTACTGTTTGGGAGGTAATTCTTGAATTCTAGTTATGTTCCTAATTATGTGTCCTAGTTTTACCCTACATGATATTTACGAATGAATGTCTTCATTCATATAAATACATGGTAAGCTTAATTTATGGGATTTGAGAGTGTTTCATATAACATTAACAACTTTACCATAATCTCTTAACTAGATGAATACTCAACAACCCAAATATTTCTTTTCACCATGGTACTAATTAAAAGTTCTAATTGGACTTATACTCAATTATTTTGCATATGTATATTAGTCCGTTGTATTTAATAATCTTTCATTGAAACCTCAAATTCAACGCATTTGTACAGATTTTTCTATCCTTATGTTAATAAAAAAAAATCCATTGGACATCAAGTTCAATTGTTGTTAATTATGTTACAAGTCTGGTTGACTATTGCTTTAGTGTTATTTTAACAGGAATTATATACTTCATTATGAAACATACTACATAAACAATAGCTTTTCATACACTATCAGATGTTTACCTCATTTAGTTAATTATGTTTAAGGCAGACCTACTTGAATGCACAAGAACTTTTTACATCAAGTTTAACAATATTTGGGGCATAATTAATCGGGGGAAAACTCTGGTTTGATAAAATTATTTGTTGTCATCTTTATACTTTAATAAGTTTGATACTGAATTTTTTTGTGGGTAAACGTGGGTTTTCGGCAGCTTATGCGCACCGACTAATCCCCCGGGAGACCACGAATGGCCTGTAGTCATCACGGTGAACCTCCAATGCCACAAGAGCTTTCGCAGAGCCCAGATTCGAACCCAGGGAAGATGAGATTTCCACTACATCCCCCTGATATAGTTTGAAATCTCTCTTTAATAAGTTTTGGAGTACTCATTTTTAAAATGACATCCATATTGTTCACAAGATATTGAAATTTATAGTCAATTGATAATTTGTTAAATATTTAAAAAGCCCAAAATAATGCCGGTAACTCATTGTAATGATGATAATGGATAAAGAGATAAATTAGAAGATGGAAACTTTCACAAAATGTTGCAACTTTACTAGGATATCCATATAAAGAAGCAGTATAGTTTTCATGATATAAAAAGTGTAATGTTCAAATGAAAGTTTCAAAATAAGATGACACCGCATGTCAATAATCCTTGTTTTGCTCCTGGTCACAATCTTCAACTTGCTTGCAAACCAGCATGGTTCATCATGGTATAAGTTGTTGAATTTTGAAAATAGGGTGAAAGAAAATCCATATCAATAACTTAATACATGATTATACCTCAATATCATAAAGAGAATACTATACCATTTAAGGGGCAATCCTTTGTAATCAAACCAGACGGTGTCTACTCCAGGAGGAAGTGCACCACTGAAGAATGGCTTGAGTTGTGGAGATAACAGAGGTAGGTACCCTATTCGAGGAGCTAAAATCTGAGCTTACAGAAACATAAGAAATTTATTGTTAGATCTTCAACACATCTTAGCTGTACCTGTACATTCAACAGTAACATGCTTAACAACACCCTTCTAATGTTTCAATCAAATACGTGTTACAATATGTAAGAACATGAAGAGAAATGTACTAGAAAAAACTGTCAAACATGGATACACATACACAAGAGATAGAGTGTGTGTGAGATGGCAGAAGGAACAGAGAGAAACAGAGAGGTATTGCCTATCAATAGGCTATTTGCATGAGAAAGTGAATGATACCATGGTCAAGTGCATGACAATTCAAAGGACATAAGAAGGGGCACTCAACCCCAGCTCACCTCACCTCCTAAAGAGGAGATAAAAACAACACACACACACCAGCAACATCAACAAAGCCTTCATCCAATGCTAGTTAAGAAAAAGGCCAACAGTAAGCCCCATCAATATTTCAAAGGAGGTGAACCTATTCTAGGACCTGCCTCTGCATAATCTTAATGCCATGTATTTGGTCCCTACGCAAACTTCTCTTGATTACTCCCCCTCGATCTTGGTCTACCTCTATGCCCACTAAAACCACCCTGATTTTACGTGCCTCCTTTATCACTATTGCATCCAAAGGTCTACATGAGATGTAACCAAATAATATCAGGCAAGGCTGCCTCCTTTTCTCCTCAATCAATGCCACCCCAACCTTCTCACGGATATCCTCATTTATAACCTATTCATCCTTGGCTAACATACACCTCAATATTTCATACTCGTAAGAAGAGCTTATTGATCACACTAGTACTGACAAGTGCTAAAACATTTGTCAAAGGTGTTATACCACACATAGGTTCATGTCCTTGCTTTCTCTCAATCTGTCAAGTCACCTGGTGTTCAGCAGGTAAGTAACTGTTCTTCCCTGGTGTCTAATTGGTCCAACCTTGATACCAGATTAAAGCATGATACAGTCAACTGTAATAACAAATATGTGTCTTGACAGTAGAAAGAAGATACAGTGTAAAACATGAAAGAGAATGTGCATATAAATCTCAAAATCAAATCCAAGCATCATAATTGATCAAATTTATCATCCACTAGCAGCGGTACAAAGCCCAAAACTTCACCTCTGGATAATTATTGATTTTACATATGAAATACCAATAATCTCATTCAATATTGCCTATTTACATATGGTACTCAAGGAAATAGTACTTAATTTAGCTAAAAAATTCCTGTGAGCTCAATTGAACTCTTATAACTAGGATAAAAATGAACATCAATCAAAAAAATCTAGTGGCACTTATTCTATACAGTGGGCACAAAAAACTGCCTCCACACTATGTTCATCTCTATCTGTATCAACTTCTAAATGCATAATAGGAATACCAGGATGATCTCCAGAGGGAGAAAAAGAGGAAGAAACCAATGATTTCACATAATTCATTTCGAACCTAGAAATATCAAAGTACAACCTTTTGAGCACAGTTCCTTGTTTGAGATTACTGCTTTTAAGATCAGAAATCCATAAGCCAAAATCTTCCACTGAACAACACCTATCATGTGTCAAAGTATATGCAAGCGCCTCAATGAAGGGTACCGAATAGTGCTATAATGGACAAAGGACTTGAACTTGGCCTGTCAAGCTATTGGTAATGTTCATGGCTTTGTGTACCATATATGAATCGATAGCAATTTTTAAATAACTTTACAAAAAAAATAAAAGAGAAGCACATGGCATTCGCAAAACAATTTATCAGTCAACCACACCATAAGCTTACTGTATCAGAAGCTTAACTTCCAGCTGATAAGAACCATAATCTTCTGTTCCATGTAGTTGAAGTCTAATCTAGTAATCTTAATTTCTTATGATATTTAAAGGGTAAATGCAATTCCCCAGTCAGCACATAAACTGAAGAGGATAAATTTTTAGTTACAAATCATATCCCACATTCCCCCCATATATATTCCCTCAAGCAGAAATGTGTCACCTTCATGGGATCCTTATACCTCTTCAAAAACCCTTGGTCAGCTAAATACCATTTGTTTACACTTTACATTTACCTGAACATTAATTGCAACCTTATTCTTTCTTTTTTAGAGAGAATTTGAAATTAAGGATATCAACATGGAGCAATGTATAACACCAGTATACCAGTACTAACCATCCCCATAAATTAATTCTCAAGTTTACAAACAAAAGTAATTCCATGTTCTAAAAGTAGATCCATACTTAGACTGGAAAGCATCAAACTAATTATTTTCCATTCTGCTGCAAATTTTACACCAACCAGTATTATGTTTACAGCACAGGACTTGATACAACCTTCTACTCATAAATTCGAAATAATCTCTGGAATATTTAAAATCAATATCAACTTGCATCAGAAAAATAATAGATTTGAACTTCGATTTGAAAATGTAGCTCCCTTTTTGAGACAGGGACAAATTTAAAGCAATCAATTCTTTGACAACATCACACAAGTATTACCACCAAGTTAAACAAAATCCATTAGTTTCCGATACATAAAATGATTCAAACACGTATATACGAATCACCTCAAACAATTACTTCATAAAATAGACAAATACTGTAGAGAGAGTACCAGAGCAGGTGCCGGCGGCGGTAGAGTGGTGACTTCGGAGTCGTGAAGATGAATTTGCAGGGGAATTGCACCGTCCCACACGTATTGTTGAGCTTCTTTTCCTCCCCTTTCCATTTCAGTTGTCTTATTGCTTGTTTCGCCGGCGATCACCAAATCAGTTCCGTCAGGTTTTTATAATCATCATTCATCAGGGGTGCAAACCGTAAAATGAATTCTTAAATATCATTTTCTAAACCTTCCACTTTTGCCAATGTTGCAATTCTCACTCTTAAATACAAATATTTACAATATTACCCCCTTAATTTTTGAACCCCAATCAAACCACATGCAATTTGTATGAGTAAATCACGGATTTGGTCCCTAAGATATGTCAATTTTTACGGATTTGTCCTTTAAATTCATTTATTATAAAAGAATCCTGCATGTATACATTTTTTTATGGATTTGGTTATACATTTTCGACGATCGTCCAACTTGTTCTTTTCACTTTAAAGTATAATATCCTATCATTCAATGCAAAACTTTATATACAGATAAAGTCACGTGTGAATTTGTTTGGATTCTTTAAAGATATGGCAAGGAGATTATTGAATCCCTACAATAACAAATCATTTTTAACGGGTAGGATAGTATGTGAATCACAATTCTCTCAAAACAATATGGTTTATGAATTATGATCTTATTGGAAAATGGAAAAAAAAAACCATGACCAATCGCTTGTTGCTTATTTCTCAAAGATTAGAACATTACATGTTAGAGAACACTCGAATCACGTCTTGATAAATATATCTCCTAATAATAGGTAGTTTAACAATGATTTCACAACATGGACAGATCTACTTTGATGGTTACAGTGGCACGTGCCACCGTGTTATTCCTTCGTCGAAGGGTAAAAAATTCGAGGTTCGTGAAAAATGCAGCCGTATTAATTTGTTGTGTGTCACCGTTTGTATTTTGAAACTACAATGAGAACAAGTTTTATTTGGTAGAGTTGGTTTGTAAGGATTTTATTTCACCTCAGACCCAAGTTCGAATCGTGTTAGTGTCATTTTCTTAGTCAAATTGTGCCACCAATTGAAAAAAAATTTGTATGTTTGTTTGTTATAGTCAAACGGTGCCATCGTTAGAATTTTTTCCCTATAGTTTTTTCTTATAGTCAAATGATGTCACCGTTTGAAAAAGTTATGGGTCTGTCCTGGTTCACAAGGCTATTTTAGGATTCAAAGTTCAAACCCCAAGTTGTTTTTTGCATAAAGGATTTGAAGTACAAGAAAATGTCCGATCAATTCAAACCTTTGCCTCTTAATGATCATTAAGAGGTAAAGGTCTACATCGGCTAGACCTTTTTGAAAAATGTCTGAATCGCTCGTTCAACCCTGAATCGCTCGTTCACCCTCCCACTTCCTTCACGATTCAGATTGCCAATATTCCTCTCTTTCGACTCTCCCATTCAACTATATACTCTTTCATTCATCTCTCGATTCTCCATCTGTTGGATACAACCGGCGAATCGACTTTGGATTCGAGAATACAACCGGCACACCATCGGTTGGAACGTACCGGCGCAAACCATCTCCAAACCAGCGACACTCCTTCAACAGGTAAGAACTCTCCACTTTGCTACATCCAATCTCTTTGATTATTTTGGTTTCATCTGCTGATAAGTTCCAAGCTGCTTAACCAAAAAAAAACCGGTCTCTTTATAATGAATCCATTGTTTGTGAAAATTTTAGTCGGCTTGCTCTCACATGTTTTTTTCTTAACAGTAGGCTTATAAGCTATCCATTGTTTTTACCTGAGTTTAGACAAATTCATTGTTTTTTTTTTGGTGAAAATTGGAAATACATTTATGTGTATTATATTGTAACAATGTTCTTTAAATCCGTTATGCAAAAAACAAATTGGAGTTTGAACTTTGAATCCTAAAATAGCCTCATGAACTCGTTAAATTACCTATTATTAGTAGATATATTTAGGGCTGTAAACGAACACGAACAGAAGTTTGTTCATGTTCGTTCATTTAACTTAACCGAACAAATGAACGAACACGAACGATAAACGAACAAAAATCTTTGTGTTCGAGTTCGTTCGTTTAGAAATCAGGTGTGTTTGTGTTCGTTTATGTCCGTTCGTTAACATGCTAAACGAACATAAATAAATATTATTTGAATTCAAAGTAAATAAATAAAAGATTATATATTAAATTTAATATATAAACGAACATAAACGAACGGTAAATAAACGAACATTCATGAATATAAATAAACGAACGAGACCCTTGTTCATATTCGTTCGTTTAATTAAACAAACAAAAAAAATTTGTTCATGTTCATTCATTTATTAAATAAACGAACTTTCTGCCGAACGGTTTGCTGAACAATCGGTTCATTTACAACCCTAGATATATTTATCAAGATGTGATTTAAGTGTTTTATAACATGTAATGTTCTCTCTTTGAGAAATAAGCAACAATGAATGGTCATGGTTCTTTTCCGGTAATATCATAAACCATATTATTTGAAGAGAACTGTCCCATTAAAAATGATTTGTTATTGTAGGGATTCAATAATCTCCTTGCCATATCTTTAACATAAATGAATTGTTCTAAATGGATAGTCTGAGTGACAACAAATTACCATTTCAACCTTCTGTTCTAAAGGGAGGTTTTACAAGATTTCATGAAAGGTAATGAGAGCTTGAAGATGATCAAACCCCGTTTGGAATGGTTTCACTTTCGAGATCAAGAAAAGGTGAGGAATCTAAACACACGTTCCTGTTTCACCTCGAAGAGGAATTGGTAAAGGCAGTTGCAAGAATTCCATTAGAGCCAGCTCCATGGAAGCAGGAAGGTCGCAAGAAACACCCAACCAAGAATAAGAAAGCTCCTGCGAGGGTTGACCATGGCTGCAACTGCAAGAAGGTTCATTGTGAGATTGAAAAAAGGTTGACCAAAGTGGAGTGCAACACTTCAACCATGCATACCAGCGATAGAACTGCGAGTCGTGTGATAGAACTACGGTCAAGAAAATCAACCATCCCGGTGAATGATGGAAAAGCTAAAACATGTTGGTGATTTTAGTGTCACCGGTTACATTTAGTGTAATGGATTTTATACGTGTGTTTCAAGGGGATTGAACTTTGTTCTAAAACAAGTATGGAGAGTGTGGAGTGCACACTTGTATTAGTCTAAGTCGGTCCCGATAATGTTTAGGGGGCAACGCCCCCTGAACGCAAAACGGGGGTCCCGCAATTATATAAGTATAGGGTTTATAATGAAAAATTCTTGAATTTTCTGTGGCATGATTGTGAATTCTATAACTTGGTAATTCCCGTTTTGAGATTTAATTTTCGGATGATCAGTTTTTGGGATACACACGGAAGTTTGGACATACTTGATATTCTCTCTGGTTTTGATCTTGATTTCTGCCAAAATCAAGATTGTTGCTTT